CAAAAAAGGAGCATAAAATATTCGCTTGTGCACTCCTTAGAATGTTAGTTCATTAACTTGATAAGCTGCACAGGGAAAAATGCAGCCAAAATCTACAAAAATGTCCACTGGGGTTTCAAATTGGCATATTTACTCAGCAAGAAATAGCTAGAGGTTGGAGGAAAAAAATGCATCCCACTCTGGTAATGACGATTTAGTGTGAATCTTCGTAAAAATACCTTGTTGAAAAATCTCCATGTGGACTCTAAGGGGATACACAGAAGCCCAAAGCCCCAAGAACAGACATAAATATCATGACATAAATACCATGCTCCATAATCTGTGTCCTGGGGAACAGTTCTACAAAATTATACAAGAAAATCACAATCTTTCACATCTACTTTTCACACATAATTCAACATAAACTTGAAAAATGTTTTAATTTTTCTTCCCTATTGCCAAAAATGTTTTTAATGCTTTATTGGAAACTTTCATTTACTGGTGTGTGCTCTAGGTCTCTATTACTCATCAGTATAAAAGAGTTACAAAGGACTTGTTGGGTGATACTTCCAATGGGCACTGTCTTCTATGATTAGAAGCTCATTAGCAGTCTCTCTGGGAGAAAATTCTAGTAACTGAATCCCAGTCATTGTGCTAAGCTCTTTCATAAATTTCACTTTATTTGACCCTCCCAATGAGGTACAAATTGTAATTCCCACTTACAGACAAAAATGGCGAGGGTGAGAGAGGTTCTCTGCCTTACTCAAGTATATAATTAGTCCTGAACTAACAGTAATAAGGGCCAGTATTGGAACACTGAAGAGTTCAGCTCTGTGGTTCTTTATCTTTACCTTCCTGTTCTCCTTGCCATGTTCCAAAAAATGATACAAGAAGTTAAACCTAGAACACTCTCTGTTCCTATAGATTGTGGGTGTTTCCTCCAAGAAAAAAATAATTCAAGATATTCAAGGTATTTCAGACAAAAATAAAAGACGTCAGGACAAACCCACTACACTGCCATATGTCCTCAATGGGTCAAGCTGAGCTAGTGAGGGAGTGAGGGTGCATTCCTAGTCTCTTTATTTACAGTGTGTGAACCCAGTGGGAACAGAATGTCAGACTGTGCAACAGAGGCTACAAGCCAGTAGTCAATTCACTTGCACGTGTGCTTAATTGGACCCACAGAGAGGTTAAAAACATTGCACTGTTTTCTAAAATCTATAAGTTTCACGTAAAGATTCATATTTTATGGCAATTAGAAGGGCCCTTCACACTAAGCCCACCTTTATGGTTACAGTCAGCCAAAACTTAGTAGCCCCAACTCCTTTTCATGAGGCATGTACTAGATTTTCCACAGTTCCTACTACTCTGTATTACATCCATACACTCAGGCCACTGCAGCTGTAATTTTTCTTGATGCTTATGTTATTGTTTTTCTTATAAAAGAACCATTTCCCTGAACCTTGTCTCTTTTGACAGATTGAAAGATTGCACTGCCCTTTACAATGTTCTCTTTATGGGAAAGGGCACTTCCCCAATCTTTTGTCTCCAACTTTCATACCAACTGGTTGAATCTCTTCAATCTCTCTTTGGAACATGGTCCACAAGTCGTTATCGTTGCAGGCAGTACTAGCTCAGATTTTTCTGGATGTAATGTCAATTTGGTTGTTTGGAATCATGAAGTCGGGATAATCAACCATTACAAAATACTGTTACAAAAAAAAAACAAATTTGTAGGTGCCAATCGCATAACCACCAACTAATCAACCAATCAACCAATCTACCAACAAACCAGCTTCCAGGTGACTGAAACATAAAAGGCTAATTTATAAACAGGAAGCACTTAAAACAACAACAATATTAAAATATCGAGTGCCCCCAGAAAGGAAAGTTTGGCCTTCAGAAGGCAGTAATTGCTTCATGTGAGCACATCTGCTTAACAATCCAGGAAAGTGGGAGTTTCACTCTTTATTAACCTTAACCAGAGACATTTTCATCAAAATTAATCGTGATTACTTTTATTGCATTTCAAATGCTATCCTTTATTTGGGGTGGTCAAGAATGTAACTAAGCAGTTCCAGACCATGCTATCTTTTATGAATAGGCCTATGTGGTAGTTACCAAGGCCCCTTATGAAAATATTGTTATACAAAAGCTCATGGGTCAAAATAAGACATTAATTTCCATAACTGCATGTGTCCTTTGAAAAGAAAAAAATTACTATATATAGAAAATATAAAAATTTTGATGCTCAATGCATATCAGAGTAGAAGTATATAAATACCCATGGGTATCATAGACAATATTTAAATGATTTTTACCTTTCCTTGTTATTATAATAACAATTAATCATTAATACGTATTTTGAACATAGCTTGTACCAAGTACAATCCTAAGTTTTTTATATTTATTGACCCTTTAATCCTCACAACAACCTTGGAGTAGCTGTAATTATTATTCCCATTTTACAGATGAGGAAACTGGTCCTAGGGAAGTTAAGCAACCTGCCCAAATGCATTCAACTAGTAAATTCTGAAGCTTGGATTGAATCCTAGGCATTCTAGTTCCACAGTCAGTTATGAAATATAATAACAATACTGACTTCACTGTCCCAACGATCACCTTGTCTGCTGTGTTTGGTGCCTTGACTGTTTCTTGCTCTGTGCAACCTCTGCACCTTTGCTGACAGTTCTCCTGTCTAAAGGGCCTTCCCTACTGCTCTGTCCCTCCTGTATCAAACTCTTTCAGCCCCAATCCCACCTGTTCCATAAAGACTCTCTGCCACTCTAAAGTTCCCTTTCCTTCTCTTAATTCTCCAGAACTCTCACCATATCCATAAGCCCATATGACATTGGTGTGGGGAAAAAAAAAAAAAAGGCAGAAGTGGTTTTACCTGCCCAGCACCCTGTCTGGTAAAAGAACTCTCTTTCTTGTGGGAAATCACCTGTCCCCACTTCTAGCCAATGGGCTTTGGGTAAGGCTAAGCCCTGGCCTTGAGGTTCCAGGTGATCACATGACCTCATCCTGGCCTGGCCAATTCATGCATTTTACCAGCCTTTGAATGTTTTCTAGAACTACTAAGAAATTGTTCTTCTTCCTCTGGGGTGACTGCACTCACAGAATGTAAGTTGGCTGCTGGTGGCTATTATTGGTGTCACTGTGGACAGCCTTCCTGAGAATCAGGCAACAAAGAGCAAAGCATACCTGTGAGTAGGATAAAGACAGAGTCCTGATGCCATAGTTTGAATATCTAACTGTAGTCATGTCTGAAGTCTACCCCTAGTCTTTTCAGTTAATTGAACCAACAGGTTCCCTTTTTTGCTTAGTTCAGACTGAGCTGTGTTCCTGTCACTTGCAGCTATGAGTCCTGACTAACCCAGTTGACATAAGAATTAAATGGTTGCTATAAAGAGCACAGCACTCAGCATATTAAAAAGTTTAATAAAAGGTATATGCTACTGTCACTATTTCTCTACATGAGTTTCTTGAAAGCAGAAGACCTGGATTCAGGTCTTTCTCTACCCCAGATATCATTTCATTACTTTTTTTATACTACTTTTACCATATGTAAAATCACCAATATTTACGTAATGAATAAATGAGAATATATGCCTGGTAAAGCAATAAAATGTGTCCTGGCTGGTATGGCTCAATTGATTGAGTGTCAGCCTACAAAGCAAATGGTCGCTGGTTCAATTTCCAGTCAAGGTACAAGCCTGGGTCGCAGGCCAGGTCCCCAGTAGGGAGGATGTGAGAAGCAACCACACATTGATGTTTCTCTCCCTCTCTTTCTCCCTCCCTTCCACTCTAAAAATAAATAGCAATAAAATATTCTACAAATTTAAGTTAACTATTATCTCAGTCTGTAGACTCCAATCAAACATCTCATGTGACTGATGGGGAAACTAAGATCCAAAACCCTGGGATGTAATTTTCCAAGAACGCTGAGGAAGACGTGGATTTAAATAAGCTATGAGTCCCTGCTAACTAAGGTGTTTCCAGGACTGAACAAAGGAGCTGATCCTATTATTGTGTGCTATCCAAACCGGGCATTAATGCAAAGAGGCTTGACTAACAACATTAAGGCAGCTCCAGGACACACAGAAGAAAGAAACTAATACTAAATAATCCCCATGTGCCATGCTCTGTGCAAGGCATTTCCTTATATTTCCTACTCTGGAATAATTTATTTCTCTTTTGTTCCATTAAAAGATGAACTATGAGTACATATTGAAATTATCTAACTTCTTGTATGTCCAAAGAGGAAACCTAATATATGAGTGTAACTGGGGAAAAACACTATTAATAAGCAAAATTGAAAATGAACTCTGGCCAACTTGAACTTGAACTGCTGTGTTTAAAGGCACACTGGAATAAATAAAGAAACTTCAAAGCAAATGCACTGTTTTAGCTTGAATGTTTTATTGAGCACATGGAGGAGCTCCTTTTCCCAAAATAGGAATAGTTAATGAGGAAAAATTAGTGTTTTCTGTTGGTCCATCGGTTTCTAAGAGCCATCCATTCAGAGATAACTATATACCAAAGAGAAGACAGAATAATGATCTTTCTCAGAGCCTCAGAGTTTGAAGCAAAACAAAGCCAGTTTTGTAAACTGAGGTCAACTTAACACATCCTTTCTCAAATAGCTTCTGTGATAATATGCACACATTTCCCTTCTACTAAAACCAAAACAACTTCAATATAATTCTAAAAGGAAGACATTTCAATGTTTTAAGCTCTTGCCAACTGTATAAGCACAGCCCTTAAAGTAAGGTATAGGAATCAAGAAACTACGTGAAGCATTAGTGACTCCACCATAATCAGCTTTCCTTGGATACCATTCTGAAAATGATGCTTCATCCTACGAAAGACCTACTGCATTCCCTGGGAGCACATTGCTAGTGTTGGATTCAGAGAAAGGGCAAGTCCACCATTTCTGTGCACATTTTCCCACAGGAGTATGTTTTAAAGAGAGTCGATCTCCAATTATTTGGGGATTAAGAGGAGAAGCTGGGGCTCACCTGCAAGTGCTGCGAGTTGTCAGCCATGCTATCTTCTCGCCTGCGGACTTCTTCCAATAACTGGGCATTCTTCTTTTTTTCCAGCTGTTGATTATGCTTGAGGTTGGCCACTTTCTTATTCTGATCCTTCATATGCCTGAGAAAAGTAAGCACAGCTTGGTTAAATCCAACCACTGGAGGATCATATCTTATCACAATAGAAGTGCAAAGCATAGAATATATGATATGGGTTTAGGAATGTTGCGACTTAAGAATATTCTAGTCATTCAATCACAAATACATACTGAGCACTTTCTATGTCAAGTGCCAGGATGGTCCTGGGGTTGCAGTGGCAAATAACACAGATATAGTCTTCACCCTCCTCATGGAACTCTGAGTCCACTAGAGATGACAGACAAGTATCAAGGAGACATAGCTTAGGTTTCCTAAGGTTGAAAGAAATAAATAGCATGTTGTGAATGATGATGGTGATGTGCACTGCATGTGTGGATAGGCAGTGGGGTGGAGCAGATGACTTTAGTCACTGTGTCCAGGGAACCCCCCCTAAGGAATCAAGGCTGTGAGTGAAACCCAGAGGAAGCAACCAACAAAATAACAGTTAAGGGGCTCCCAGGTAGGACAAGTATAATTCCTGAGGCAAGAAGGAACCCGTCTGCTTGTAGGAACTCGAAGGTTGCAGTGGGGCTACTCCAAAGTGAGGGGCAAGGTGGAGTAGGAGATAGAACTCCACAGGTAGGCAGGACTCCAGATACACAGGGCCCAGTGGTCTGTGATAGGACATTTACTTTCTTCTAAGTGCTTGCTGTCTTAATTATTGTTATTCTTTTGGATCATGTTCTATTTTGAGATCATAATCCATTACTTTGGTTTTAAAATAACAATTACAAGGCTCCAATCAAATACATTATCATCACTTAGCTCAAACAGAATAACACTTTGGCTAAATCATTGTGTTAAATAAAGCCTCAGTTCTTAATGAATCTATAGAATGTCAAAGTGCAAAATCATAAAGTGATCAAGTGAATAAAAGACTAAGGATAAAGGACCAGTTTTAAAAATGCAGGGAGTGTGGGGGGTGTGGTGGTTATGGGCTTTATGTGGACTATTTCACCAGCAGTGTTTAGCAAAACATTCCAGAGATTTAGGCAACCATATCCACGGCAGCTGTTATAAATCTAATCCAACATGTGAGGAGGCAGAAGGGCTGCACAGAGAGCTCAGGAGGAGCAATTCCAAAAGCAGAGGGCCACAGAGCAGAATTATTTGGAGTCTTTTCTAATCCCTACACTGACTGAACCCAGCATTGCTATCAGCCACTGTACTGAACCCTGGGTCCCAAAACAAGCATTTTGGGACTGCTCTTATGGAAGGATGAATGAGATGAGAACTAGATGATACATAGAAAACCTGCCAAAATGAAAGAACTAATAATCAAATGGAAGCCATTATCAATAAGAAACTCTTACTTCTAGTGCTCATTAAATTATATACATGTTTACTTCTTCCCATAGCGAGAAAAGGAAGTTCGAGGGAATTGTTTATCGAGATAAAAAATCTTCTATTCAGGACCCTGCTAATAAAAAACTTTTGAACAGTTTGGTCCTATAAATATTTATAGACCCAACTGGCACAGTGATTTAAATATTCCTGGTGACACTAAGAGGATACAAGGTGAGAGAGAAAAATTACCCCCTTACAGTATTTGGATTGGATTATTTTGGTCTGATATTTCCCTGCTTTTACCAGATACATTAATGTACACATATGAAACTACCAGCAAAGTCTACATGCTAATCTACTTTTAGGAAAGTATCTTTTGGTTACTAGAAAGATGTTAAGAATGACTTCTTTCTTCCAAATTGAACAAAGGTTTAGTAGTTCCAAAGCTCATACTAACTCAGGGCAAGCACACTCTCCAGTTTCTTGCAAGACAGGTCAGTGCACAGTAAAAGGATGTGATGGAAAGGTGAGTATTACTAATGAGATTGTTTAATTAGAGGACCTTTTTTTAATGAAGAAATACTTTTTATTACTTTGAAGCAAACTCTTAAATAGAACTAACTGCTAAATGTTTCCCCCCAAGTACCAATGATAAATAAAACAGATTATAATTGCAACATCATTTGCACAGTTAAAGAACTCCCACAAAGTTCCTGGAGCAGACCTGGCTTTCTGGGATACTGCAGTGTTTTTTCAATCCAAAAAGAAAAAACAAACTCCAAATCCATGCATCCCTTAAAAATTTCCTGAATTAAGAATGAGCAGCAATCAACTCATGATATATAATTTAATTCAAGGAAAATATACAATTTTAGATGTACAGTTCAATGAGTTTTGACAGATGTATTACACCCATGTAATTACCACCACAATCAAGATACGGAACATGCGCGCCACCCCAGGGGCTCTCTTGTGCCCTTTTACCATTAATCCCCTGCCACCACCTCCAGGCTTGGCAACCACTGATCTGCTCTCTGTTACTACAGATTAATGGAATCACACAGTATGTACTATTTTGTGTCTGCCTCCTTTCACTCAGAATAATGTTTTGATTATTACTGATTAACAATATAGTTGTCAGTATCAGTCCTTATTCCATACGGTCATTCCAAAGTTTGTTTATCCATTCATACATTGATCAATATTTGGAGTTTTTGTGAGGTTTCTAGCTATTAAATTAAAACTGCAATGAACATTTATAAAAAAGACTGCCAGCCAAGATGGAGGCATAGGTAGATACCCTTTGCTTCCTTATACAACCAAAAGAAGGATAACAACCAATTAAAAACAAAAACAACCAGAACTACCAGAAAATTGAACTGTATGGAAGTCCAACAATCAAGGAGTTAAAGAAGAAACATTCATTCAGACCAGTAGGAGGGGCAGAGTTGGGCAGCTAGAGCAGAGAGGATTTGTAGCAAGGTGCCAGATTGGGTGGGCGAGGAGGTGGCTGGCGGACCGCGGGGTCCCAAATTCACGTGAAGATAAACTGGGAGGAACAACTAGGGAATGAGACAGACCACACAACCCAGGGTTCCAGGGCAAGAAACTAAAGCCTCAAAACCTATGACTGTAAAAACCTGTGGAGGTTGCAGCAGCAGGAAAAACACCAGCCTCAAAGGAGAGTTCATTGGAGACTCTCACAGGGTCCTAGAAGGTACACAAACCCATCCAGCCAGGAATCAGCACCAGAAGGGCCCAATTTGTTTGTGGGAAGTGGGGGAAATGACTGAAAGAGGAGTGAGATCCAAAAAGTGGCACTGTTCCCTCTCTGACCCTTCCAAATACAGCGTCACAACATAGCCCCAGCAAATAACCAAGGCTCCACCCTTACAACATAACAGGTGCATCAAGGCAAAGAAATATGGCCCAAATGAAAGAAAATATCAAAACTCCAGAAAAAAAAAACTAAGTGACAAGGAGATAGACAATCTATCAGATGCAGAGTTCAAAACACTGGTAATCAGGATGCTCACAGAACAGGTTGAGTTGGGTAGCAAAATGAAGTAAGAAATGAAGGCTATACAAAGTGAAATAAAGAAAAACACACAGGGAACCAACAGTGAAGGGAAAGAACCCAAGACTGAAATCAATGATTTGAAACAGAAGGAAGAAATAAACATTCAACTGGAACAGAATGAAGAAACAAGAATTCAAAAAAATGAGGAGAGGCTGAGAAACCTCTGGGACAACTTTATACATTCCAACATCTGAATCATAGGAGTGCCAGAAGGAGAAGAGGAAGAGCAGGAAATTAAAAACTTATTTGAACAAATAATGAAGGAAAATTTCTTGAATCTGGCAAGGGAAATAGACTTCCAAGAAGTTCAGGAAGCTCAGAGTCCCAAAGAAATTGGATCTAAGAAGAAACACACCAAGAGACATCATAATTAAGTTACCCAAGATCAAAGATAAGGAGAGAATCTTAAAAGCAGCAAGAGAAAGCGAGACAGTTACCTACAAAGGAGTTCCCGTAAGACTATCAGCTGATTTCTCAAAAGAAACCTTACAGGCAAGATGGGGCTACAAAGAAGTATTTGAAGTCCTGAAAGGGAAGGACCTACAACCAAGATTACTCTACCCAGCAAAGCTATCATTTAGAATGGAAGGGCAGGTAAAGTGTTTCCTAGGTAAGGTAAAGTTAAAGGAGTTCATCATCACCAGAACATTTTTATATAAAATGTTAAGAAAAAGATTAAAACTAAGAACAATAAAATGACAAAAAACTGACATCAACAACTGAACCAAAAAACAAAAATAAAAACAAACAAAGCAAACAACTAAAACAGGAACAGGATCACAGAAATGGAGGTCACTTGGAGGGTGATCAGTGAGGATGAGGAAAGGGGAGAATGGGGGAAAAGGTACAGGGAATAAGGAGCATAATTGGTAGGTACAAAATAGGCAGGGGGAGGTTAAGAATAGTATAGGAAATGGAGAAGCCAAAGAACTTATATGTATGAACCATGGACATGAACTAAGGTGGGGAATGCTGGTGGTGGGGGGGTGCAGGGCAGAGAGGGAGAAAGAGGAGAAAAAAATGGGAGAATATAATGTAATAACATAATCAATAAAATATGTTTTAAAAAAATAAAAGAAAAAACATTTAAAAAAAGAATAAGTAGCTAAGAAAAATGGGAAACTGAAGTTTAGGCACTGTGATAGAGGCATACCTTCAGTATTCTCCAACCAACCATTCCCTCAAACACTGCCTTATTTAGGGCATCAGTGATTTGAAAGGTATGGTTTTGAATGGCACAGCTTAGGATTTGGGCCAATAAGATCCATGCAGAGTAAGATGATGAAAATGTTCATCTTGTCTTTATATATATATATATATATATATACACATATATATATCTATCTATATAGATAGATATATATATATATCTCAAGAAATATAAAGTGTACATACTTCTTTGTAGGATAGCTATGGTTTTCAAATATATTTCTAACAGTGGAACACTTTGTTCTAATAAAAGCATACTTAAAATCCAAAAAGGGAAAGAATTCCTCTGCCAGAGGCAGGAAAGAGGTAAGGAGTGAAGTAGGCTGGGTACAGGTGAGTAGCCCACCCACTGGACAATTCCCCTCTCGCCCTGCAGCGAGTCCCTGCCGCAATCCATAGGGTAGGAA